TAGGGTGCCATGGGGACCTGTAGGGTGCCTTAGGGACCCATTAGGATACTTAGGATACCAGGGGGACCCATTAGGATCCATAGAGTGCTATGAGGACCTGTAGGGTTCCTTAGGGATGCATTAGGATTTATAGGGTGCCATGGGGACCTACGAGGCTCCCTAGTCCACCCTTGCGTGCCATAAGTATCCATAGGATGCCATGGGGACCCATAGAGGCCACACCTCGAACGCTGTGTTCAGTTTTGGGCCCCTCACTGCAGGAAAGACGTTGAGGCCCCAATGTGCAGAGAAGGGCAACGAAAGTGGTGAGGGGTCTGGAGCACAGGGCTGCTGAGGATGCCGATGGCATGGAGAGCAGAGGAACGAAGGGAGAGCAGGCAGAGGGGGGCCGACGCTCCCAGCCGGGCCGGGCAGCCACCGCCTCACAATGCATCACAATGGGCCTCATAAGCGCCGTCATGGCGTCGCCGCGACGACGTTTGTGACACGGGCGCCCAGGGGGGTATAAAGGCGGAGTGCGGCGGCGGGTCCCGCATCCTGAAGGAGCATCTGGCCGAGAGCAGACGCGTCCGCAGGAGGAGCTCCAGCATGGCTGGCGCGAACGAGGAGCGAGCCGCCGGCACGAGGCGGAACAGGAGGAGTGAGGCCGGCCCCGCAGCGGGGCGCGCCTCCGGACCCATGGACACGAACAGCAAAGGTGTGCGGGGCCGTGGCCAGCTCGGAGCGGGGCTGCGGCCGCCCTTGGTGCAGAGACGGCGTGTCGCTCTGCCGCCTCGCTCCCGCCTGGCAGCCGGAGGGGCGCCGGGCAGCGGCGGATCGGAGCGTGACCTGCTTTTCCTCTGCCCTGCAGAGCGAGTCGCCGTCTGGGATGCGGTGGCCGCCTACGTCCGGGAGCAGCTCGTGGCACACAAGGTGCGTCGGCCGGTGGTTCCTCCTCTCCCCGTCCGGCCTGGGCTTCCTCTGAGGCTTCCCCTGCATACGCAGCGGGAGACTCCCCCCGCACTTCTCTCCTGGGCGTCCCACGGGCTCCCTGCAGACGCACGATCCCTCGTGCCGGGCGCTGTCGGATCTCGGGGTCGATGCCACGCTCTGGAAGCCTCTGGATCCCGCCAGGCTGCTTCCGCCCCGCCTGCTGTGCCGCATCTGGGAGGGCGAGGGGCAGGAGAGCGCTGTGCGGCCCTTCCCAAAGCCGTTCCTGACTCCCCAGCTCGTGCCTCTGAGCGGCAGCAGAGGCTCCTGAGCTCTGTCCCTGCGTCGGAGCCCCTGCGGCTCTTCCCCCCGGCCGGCCCGTAACCCTTCTGCCCTGCTTTTCTCTTCCGCCCACAGGGGGTCTGGATTCCCACCTTTGGCTCCTTTGACACCGTCTCCAAAGACGTCTGGACCGAGGACGGGACCGTGACTCTGCGGTGGCCCGTGTTCCACCTGGCCGCCAACCTCATGGCCACGCACCACCTCAAGGCCCGCAAGGAGTCCCTGCCAGGTAGGAGGGGGGATTCCGCTGCTTCCGGCTGCGTGGACGGGGCCGACGGCCGCTGCCTCCGTGCCCACCAGCAAAGCTCCCCCTGTGAGGAGCCTGTCCGAACGCGGGGCCGTTCCGGCTGAGCTCCACCAGCAGCTCTTCTAGGGAAGCGCCTGGGGGAAACCAACCCTGCTGTCAATTCTGTCCCTCGCATCTTTCAGTGCACAGGAAATTGGAGCCGCTGAGATATAGCAGGGCGGCCGCAGGCGCCGCCGTGAGCTGGCAGAGCCTGAGGACTGGCATCCAGAGCACCGTGTCCCTGCTCTCCGGCTGCCTGCAGGACGGGCAGAACGTGGCCGTCGTGCTGAAGGACGTCGGCGTGCTGCTCATAGACGGGCTGACGTTCCACATGAGATTCTACTATGGCTTCCTGGAGCAGCTGTCTGGGAAAGAGGAGCTCAGCAGAGCTGCTCTCAAGGTGAGCCGCCGTTTCTGTGCGGCCCAGGTGGAGCCGCGACCTTGCGGTGCCCGCACGCGGCCCACCAGGAGCTGTTGGCTGCTCGGGCCGTGCGAGTGCCGAGCTGCTGCCGGCTCTCCCTGCCTCGGGCTCCCCGCGTCCCTGGCGCCTCAGCCGTGACCAGGACGTCCCACCTCCTCCCCGTTTCTCCCCCGCAGGCCCCCTGGCTGCTGGACGCGGTGGTGTCCCCGGCGGCACCGGTGGCCTCCCTGGCGCTCTCCGGCTGCCTCGTCGTCTTTCCCATGTGAGTGCGTTGGTGGCTGTGGCTGCTGCCTGGTGCGGCCGCTCGGCTCTTGTTGCGCAGCGCTTGTTCCTCGTGTCCGTGCCCGTCCTGCCCGTGAGCGTGTGTCGTGGGATCGCAGACTGAGCTGGGCTGGACGGAACCCCGAAAGGCACCTCACCCACCCCCCTGCGGGGACCAGGGACCCCAGAGGAGGTTGCTCTGAGCCTGGTCCAGCAGGCCTCGACTGCCCGTCCGGGCGTCCGCCAGCTCTCTGGGCAAGATGCTGCGGTGCCTCGCCGCCCTTCTGTCCAGCGCTCCTTCCTTACGTCCTACCCAAACCTTCCCTCCTGCCCTTGGAAGCTATTTCCCCTGCCCCCCGTCCCGACGGACCCTGCTCGAGGCTTTAGAAAGCAGCGTGCTGCACGCAGCGTGACAACGTGCCTGGGAGCAGACGGCCAGAGAGCAGCAAGGAGCGCTGGAGCGCTGCGTCACACCGCTCCGTCTTCTCCTCTCACAGGTTTCACATGGAGTTGGTGCCCAAAGCACCGCCCACAGTGCGCCGCAAGGCCTCAGCGAGCCTCTCTGGTCGGCAGAAAACAAAGCAAGACGATGCTTTGCCACCTCTTGCACCTCTCAACCAGGGCAAGAAAGGTAAAGCAGCCGCCGGCTCCTTCCCGCGGCACGGGCAGCCAAGCGGAGCTGGGAAATGCCCCGCTGACCATCAGCCCAGGGCTCTGATGGCGGCACAGCTTCCCGCCAGCTCAGCACGGCCCCGAAGCCATCGGCCCCCGGCCCCTTCCCATCAGCGACTGCCAGCCTCTCCCAAACGAAGGCGCTGGCTGTGCCGTGCCCCCGGCCCCGGCTTGGTCCGGGCGGATCTCAGGCCCTGCCCTCCCCCGACAGAAGGATCCGGCCCCCAAAAGTCACCCCGCCACCTCGTCGTCGCCCCCCCGGCTCCTCTTTCCCAAAGCCGACGCCTCCCCTTCCCCATTGCAGTGAGATTTGCTGCCCGGCCGACCTTCATCAAGCGGCTGAGCTCGGACAGCATGGATGGAGGACGGCTCCGGCGGATCAGGAGCTTGCTGCTGAAGGAGAGCTCCAAGGCCAGGTGAGGCTGGAGGCTCCGGGCTGCCGTGCGCACGGGGGCGACCCGACGAGAGCCCATTCCCCAGCCCCAAAGGGTCCCTGTTGGTGGGGATGAGGACCGGGACCCCCCCCGCTCACAGGGCCGCCCCTCTGCGCGTCTCAGGAGCCGCGGGGCAGCCGGCGAGCAGCCTGTGGGCAGGGCTATGTTGCGGCCCAGGCTCCCGGCTCAGGCTGGCGGCGTGCGGCCCGAAGCCATCGGCCACTCACGCGGCCCCCTCCCGCTCTGTCCTTCCAGTCTGCTGCCGCCGATCCGGCCGCTGCCCGAAGCCCAGGAGCAGCCGGTGAGCTGCCAGCCGCAGGGGGAGGCAGGAACGTGGAGCCAGCAAGAGCTGCGCCGAGCACCGGGAGGCAAACACGTGAGATTCCCCGAGGAACTGGGAGCAGGAAAAGCCCATTGTGCGGGTGCGGCGCGAATCCTGCCGGCGGCCAAGCACTCGCCCTCTCAGATCACCTTGAGGACAGCAGCGTTCCAAGGAGGTTCCCGAAGATCTGCCTCCAGGGCTGCGTTCACAGAGCCGCACGGCAGAGCATCCAGGCTCCCGCTGGCGTGCGACTCGGTGAGGCTCCTCAGGCAGAGGGTGAGGAAGAAGAGGGCGGCGCAGGAAGCGCTGGAGTGGGCGGCAGCATCAGCGCCTCGTGCGGAGCCCAGGCTGCCCGAGGAGCCTCCCGTCCGCCGCTCTGGATCGCTGCCGCCCATACGGGAAGAAACAGAGGCTCCCGAGAGTCAGGCCGCACAGAGCGAGGCCCCCCCCCGCAGGAGGTGCCCCACGCTGGCCATGCTGATGCGGGCATGGTGCGCCCAGTGCAGAGGCCGCAGAACTGAGGCGTGAATCCCAGCCGCAGCGCATCTCCGACGCAAGCGGGCTGCCCAGGGCCCCGTCCAACATGGCCTCCAGGGACAGGGCGCCCACAGCCTCCCTCCCTGGGCGTCCTGTTCCCGCAGCTCTGCGCACAGCGATCTGACCCGACGTCCCATCTTCCACTCGGCACCGCTTCCCTTGGCTGACCATCAGCCACGCCATCAGAGCCGACTCCCCTCCCGTCCGCAGGCTCCCTTTCGGGATGGAAGGCTGCGACGCCGTCACCCCGCAGCCTTCCCTTCTGCAGACCAACCGAGGAGACCTGGAGCGAAATGTCGAGGGGCAGAACCATCAATAAACATCCTTTCAACATCCCCACACTGCCTGCGATGGCATCACTACGTCTGTTTGCGCCGGTGGAGGGAGAAAGCATTGCGGGAGGGCATCAGAGCGTCCATCAGAGCCTGTGGGCAGACATGGGACCCCACAGAGACCCCCTAGGGACAAAGAGGGAGACATAGAGACCCAACAGGGACACAGAGAGACCCAACAGGGACAGCATAGGGACAGACAGGGACTCCATAGGGACCCCATAGGGACCCAGTAGGGACACAGGGAAATCATATAGAGACCCCACAGGGACACACAGGGACACAGAGACCCCATAGGGAAAGGCACCCATAGAGACCCCATAGGCACACAACCAGGCTGCCGCTTCGGGCACGGCAGCCAGGCGGGATCTGCTCCGGCAGGGCGGCCTGGGCCTCGCACTGCCTTCCTGAGCGGGCAGCCGGCTGCTAGCCTGGCTGGGTGGCTGCTGGCCTTCTGGGCTACCCAGGCCAGCCGGCTCTTGCCTGCCAGGGTCCCCCGGCTGGCCCGGAGGGCTCCAGAAGAGCAGAGCTACACGGGCCAGCCGGCCACCACCTTTTGCCTGGCTGTGCTGCCCTGAGCGGCCCGCTGGCTGCCAGGGGGCTTCGGGCCTCCTAAGGGTTCCCCAGGTCAGCGCTTTGAGGGCTGCTTCGGCCCAGTTCTGCAACCTGCGGGGCAGAGGGACGTCGCAAAATCCACGCTTCCAGAAAAAGGGGACCCCAACAGAATGAAAAGCAGCGGCAACGGCCTGAGGAGAAGCCAAGGGATTGCTCAGAACGCCAGGTAACACGCCGCCATGCAGCGTCATGAATTGGCAGCCGCGAGTCCAATGGAACGGGAGAACGTCCGACAGGACAGGCCTCACCATGAGGCGCAGCGCAGCTGAGCAGCAGGGAGACGAAGAAGAGCCGACAAAGAAGAGCGGGCGAAGAAGAGCACGGGGTGACCTGCAGGAGCTCTGCTGCCTCCGTGAGCACAGAGTGCCCTGGAACGCAGCTCTGCTCCTGCTCTGCAGCTCTGCTTCTCCTCTGGGGTCCCAATGGGGGATCTAGGGGGTCTTTATGCGTCTCTATGGGGCTCCCTGTGTCCCTATGGATCCCTGTGGGTCCCTATCGGGACTCTGTGGGGTCCCTATGGGGTATCTCTGTGTCCCTACAGGAACCCTATGGGGTCTCTCTGTGTCCCTATGGGGTCCCCATGTTTCCCTATGGGGTCTTCCTGTGGGTCCCTATATTTTCCTATGGGGTCCCTATGCTATGGGGTCTGTCTGTGTCCGTATGTGTCCCTATGTGTCCCTATGGGGACTCTATGGGACCCCTAAGGGTTGTCCCTTTGTCCCTCTGGGATCCCTCTGTGTCACTGTGTGTCCCTATGGGTCCCTATTGGGTCTCTATGGGGTCTCTCTGTTTTTACTATGTGTCCCTATGAGGTCCCCCTGTGTCCCTATTGGGTCCCTATGGGGTCCATATAGGGCACTATGGGGTCTCTATGGGGTCTCTCTTTGTCCCTATGTGTCTCTATGTGTCTCTAT